TTGTTAATGTATTATTATACAGTAAAATAATAAAAGACTTCAACAAAAAAACATGTAGTATATATAAGAAAACTTAAGATAATGTTATGTTTATTATTAACAATGTTTTAACAATCTAAAAAACTAATTGTTATAATGTTAAATTTATTCTAATTTATTAACAAAACTTTGTAATATGTTTTTGCTTTACACGTAATATGTCTATTTGCATTATTGATAATTATTTAAACTGACATATATCACTTTTAAAAAATTAACATACCATAACAAAAGCTTGTGGAAAATCTCCATAATCTGGAAATTTACTGGGATTTCCAGCAATATTGTAGGCTGTATATGAAATGCTAATATTACTTCCATACTGAGAACTAAAATCACACACATGTTTAACAAACTGTTCAATAAAAACAACAGTTTCTTCTTTCCCTTCAATTCTTTCTCCATTTATCGGTACTACTTCGACTTTTATCTCGTCATGAGATATCATGTCATTTACAGTTAATCAGAAAGTTTTAACTCCAAAATACAATTAATATAGGTTAATCACTTTGAGGTTTATTATTCTTATAATCACACATATGATCTACATAACAAATGACTTAAACGTTAAATGTTTTGATAACTGATTATATATAAGAACTAATTTTTTGTATCTATTATTCTTGTTTTGTTACCAAAAATGCATATTCCATGACATGTCTTCAATCACAATTTTTTGGACACACTAACCATTCGTGCATCAGTATTTCTCGCATTAAAAGAACATTCTACGAACATTTATATTTGGTACCACTTGGCTTTGTAAAGGTTCTCTTTATAAATTATTTTTTTCATAGCAAATGTCTTAACAATTGTTTTTAATAAAAAACAAAACGAGAAAAGACAAAATAAGGGTTAAGTACTAATAATATTATGTCATTTTATAACGGACTAACCATTACATGTATACAATGGAGTAAATATATTAACAACAGTTAATGCACTAAACGAGAAAGATAAAAGTGTTGTAGAACATAAATACATATTGAATTGTTTAAACTATTTTTTGTCAGTGTATTCTTATGTATAATATAATGTGTTTTTAGATTTTATAAACATTAAGATGCTATAAGCACTATTAAATGAATCATTTATTTCATTTGTCTTTGTTAATAAAGTACATTGATTTTGATAAATAATGATAATATTTTTTCTATCATGCCTTCAGATTTAATTACAATATTTTCAGTACATATGTGACAAAATTGTTTGTTTTATGTAAATATTAATGCAAA